ACACTACATTACATCAAACATCACTGATCCTGGATATCATGATGTAATTCATGTGGTGTGAAAGAAGCAGTGTTTTTTCTGGGCTGTGCATGCATGAGTTGATCAATGTTCAGATTTACATTTCATTCCAAAATATTGTACTGCTTCAGAAGACACATTTGTGCAGCTACATTTGCAAAAATAGCAATTCATCCAAAAATGAAGAAATGTACTTAAAAAAAACTTTCAGAAAGTGATGGTTTACATCTCGCATAACACTAAAACCCATCAATTAAATCAATGTGAACTCTACTTAACTTACTTCACTTTAGGCCTGTAGTATTGCAGCCATCTTGTTGCCTTTGACATCCCAGCACTCCACGCTGCCTTTGCTCTGAAAACATTGATTTCAAAAACATATGCAAGTATGAGTTTCGAATAAAAAAAACGTGAGGAGCAAATATCAGTCTAAAATGGTAAATAACGTTAGCAAAACAGCCATCATAAATGCTCCTCGAGCCGATGTGTTTAACGGGGCTTCGGCTGCATTAGTAAACTTAATTAGCATCACATGGATATGCTAGATGAAACTGACAAAGCGGATCATAAATAACGATTAACAAAAAGTTCAAAGTTATTGTAATATAGTGAATGGGCGGGTTTGTCTAACGTTACCTGTTAAATTAGTTTCTGTGGCGCGAGTGTCGGTTAGATCTGTCAGCCGTCTTTCTGGTTTAAAAGACAAAAATCACCGGACTTGTTTGTCTGTCTCCGACTACGTTACTTGTGCAATGACAAAGATATTCTATTCAATTAGCTCATGCTCTCTCTGTATCTAACAAGCCATTATATAATAATTAAAATAAATGATGGACTTTGTCAAAGGAAATAGGAAATGTTGTTTTGGACAGGGTTTTTTTTTTTTTTTACCATTGCTGCCCGGATCTTTTCCAGATGTTGAAACTCCTCCTCAGTTTCTCCAATTCTTCTGAGTGTGTTCACTGTATAAATTAATATGGATTAATCTTTGTCAAAGCTGTGTTTGTTCTGTTGTTTGCTCTTTGCTCTTCTTGCGCTGTTTTAAAATCGATTGAGTTTGTAAACACGTACAAATTATAAAACTTTTACTCTATTAAATTTTGCAATTAATTCTCTGAACACATGCGTGCTGAACCGATCTGCTCCCTTCACCTCACTATCAACTACGATCTGCTCCCTTCACATGATAACAAATAATATAGATAAATAATGAACACATGTCAAAACGAAAACACAGATACTTACAAGACCAAGTAGGAATGTCCTTTATCGTTTGTTGTTTGCCCGCTGCTCTCCGACAAGTAAACTTAGTGCTCTCTGGTGTAAAATTTTTTTCAAAACACAACACTGATCTCTAACTCTCATGTCTCGCGGTGCCAGTAGTCATGTCTCAGTAGGGCTATAATTGCCATCTAGCGGTTGGGAATTGTAATTGCATTTTTATTTATAAAATGAAAGACAGCCGAATATCAATAATATCATATAATGTGTATGAATGTAACATTTAACAGCTTGTGGGATGCATGACATCATATTATCAAATGCAAGTAAACTTTTGAAACATTTAATAAATAATGCTATAATCTCCTAAACATTTTTCTAATTTCATTTAACATTTTCATTTCATTGACAATTTCATTAAACATGGCCCTTCACTTTCATTAAAAAGCCTTTCTGTAAATGTAAGCTAATTTAAATTATAGACAAGTGCAAACTGGGCACTTAATGTAAAAGTAATTGGCCACATTTAAAAAATCAGGTGATTATGTTCGCCCATCTATGCAAATGTCTCTTTGTATAGAGACAAAAGAATGAGGTTAATCACTGTCACACAGTTTATGGTGATCGCGTATATGTTTGTTGTATAACAAAAACATCGTTGCTACATGTGACAGCACCAGAAGAATTGAGGAAAATCAAGGCAGGGAGGCTACTAACTCACATTTTTCTGATGACTTTGACCACATTTAGTTCATCAGGGGCCAGATTCACAAAAATCTTAAGAAAGAAGTTAAGAAATTTCTTATGGTAAATTCTAAGACGTTTGTAAGAAGTTCCTCAGTTCAATTCTTGAAAAAAAGATTTTCATCTTTTCTTTTTTTTCTTAAGAAGAAAATGACAGGCTTTGGTGTTATCTGAGTGTATGGCGGTTATTGCCGAAGGCTCCCTGATCAACTCAATGAAAAACACTTCAAAGACCATCTTTTTGGGCTGCCTACAGATTACCGTAATTATCATACACTATTTTCTTTGCGACTGACTTGACGGGAGTTTAGCAGTTGTCGCGTTGCAGTTTTGCAACTGATTTTTTTGATTGGCAACTTATTCTTCTTGATTGCATCTTATTATTCTATAATTGAATTTATTGTTTAATGTAACATTTAATTTTTTTTTAAATATAAACTTATGAATTTGACATAAAAGATGACATTTAATAAGTTTAGAAAAATCCCTTTACAAGGGTTAAAAAAAAGCCCTGCAAATGACTTTAAGGAGTCAAACATGGCCTCATAATGGTAAGGTTAATTTCTTTCATTGAACAGAAGATGCTTCTCATTTTTTTTAATAAGAGCCTATTTGCTTCTAAAAAGAAATGTGAAGCCTTGTTTATACTTTTTCATCAATTTTTTGTTTGTTTTTAGTTCACTTCACCAAACCCACACTACAAAAGAATCAAAGAATCATATAAAACCCAGTAAACCTTGAGAATATTATTTGTGACATTAGAATAAAATATATGGAAATAATAATGTATGTATAAAACTAAATTGAAGAATAATCTCTTAAATATTTGTTTTTTTTCTAATTTCATTTAACATTTTCATTTCATTGACAATTTTATTAAACACTGACCTTTACTTTCATTAGTCTTATTTCTGCTATTGTAGGCTCATTTTGTAAATTAACCTATTAATTTATATTATAGACAAGTACAAACTGGGTGCTTAATGCAAATGTAATTGGCCACATTTACAAAATCAGGCAATTATGTTCGCCCATCTATGCAAATGTATCTTTATGTATGGAGAAAAAACGAACGAGGTTAATCACTGTCTGTCACGTCAGTTTAATGTATATTTGTGAAAACAACGATGAAAGGTACACCACAAAAAATCTTCAGCTTTTGTGTTTATTTCTCATCCAACCCAAGATAACTTTAAGCAAATAGTGTTAAATCATATCTAAATGAATTCAAATGTTAGTCTATGTCAGTAACCCTTGTTTTTGTTTATTGTGTTGTTTTATAGATGTTTTGACGTTTTAAATATAGTTTGGCGGTTTTTTGATGATTCCCGCCTCGCGGCGATGACGTCATCACTAGCGCGCGGTCACTCAGTCAGCGTCGAGTCTTTTGAGGAGAGGAGAGCAGATCACAGTATTTCACTTATATAATTGTTAAATACACAACACAGTTTGTTTATGCAACATACGTGGTCGTTTCTGACTTGTTATCATCGAGTACAGCACTGTTTGTGTGTTTGCTGACTTAAACACTTAGAACAACATGTGAGGAAAACGTTAAATTGAGACCTGAGTGATTTTGTGTTTTCGTGTGAATGATTGTTTCTATGTTTGTAGTGAGAACTGTTGCTGAATGTCAAGTTAAACATTGATCTGTGAGGGGAATGATCTCAAGTGTTGCTGCTGCTGTTTTATTTCTACACTTTTGGCATCTTTGGCAGATTAAATCCGTTAGTTTGTTAAAATATACTGAAACAGAGACTGCTAACGTTACATTGAGCCTATAATGAGCCGCGTGAGACATCCATACATAAATGTGAATATAGCGAAATATGAATCAAATGTGACACTGAAATCATTAAATACTGCTTTGTGCTGCTCTTATTTGAAGATGTTTTATGGTCATTGTTTGTTTCTGTACAACACTTTAATGAGTTAATTACTTCATTGCAATGAATAGTTATTAGAAAATCAAACTATTTAGATTAGACATGCATATTATGGTGCTTTAGGGCAGTTATTTACTTTAGCGTTAGTTTTTTGTATTATGAATGTCAAGTTAAAACATTGATCTGTGAGGGGAATGATCTCAAGTGTTGCTGCTGCCATTTTATTTCTACACGTTTGGCATCTTTGGCAGATTAAATCCGTTAGTTTGTTAAAATATACTGAAACAGAGACTGCTAACGTTACATTGAGCCTATAATGAGCCGCGTGAGACATCCATACATAAATGTTAATATAGCGAAATATGAATCAAATGTGACACTGAAATCATTAAATATTGCTTTGTGGTGCTCTTTATTTGAAGATGTTTTATGGTCATTGTTTGTTTCTGTACAACACTTGAATGAGTTAATTACTTAATTGCAATGAATAGTTATTAGAAAATCGAACTATTTAGATTAGACCTGCATATTTTGGTGCTTTAGGGCAGTTATTTACTGTAGTGTTAGTTTTTTGTATTATTTATGTTTTATACATATTGTGAGAAATAGGCTTTTATCATATATCCTGACTCAAATAATGTGTTTCTATCAGCAAACACTGAGAATAAAGTGAGATGATCTGCTGATGATCCTGAATGTCTTGTTGAATGAGTGTTGATCGTCTGAGGCTCATCAATATTAACAGAGCTGCTGAAAAGACTCTTTATTTCATGTCAATAG